ACACATATACACTAGTAGCAAGCACAATAAAAATTAGAGCATCATTTACATTAACTTTTTTGCATAATCTTATAGTTTCTAAAATGGATGTCAAAATAGCATTCCTAAATAGAGATCTCGATGAGTAAATTTAAATAGAGCAACTAGAAGGTTATGTGGAAATGAACAAAAGTTGTGCAAGTTTGACAAATCCTTGTATGGATTAAAACAATCAATGAAATAATAACATCAAAAGGTCGACTAATTCACTAATTAAGGGGAGACACACAACTTAAGGGAGACTATTCAATCATTATTGAAATACGAAATCAAAGCGTTTTTCATCATCAAAAAAGGGGAGACTATGAGGAATACATCTTATATTTAGTTCAATTTTGATGAAGACAATGATTATTAAAGAAGAAAAGGTTCAAAAGTGTCATGTACATTAATGATAAAGTTGATCAAGAAGGTTTAACATATAAATTCAAGTGAAGATTTGAGACAAGTGAACATAAATAAGGTGATCATTGCAATTTATTATACTACTTTAAATTGCTCGTAATTTTTCCGTTCGCTTCATATAAAACCTTCTTGCATGATCATGAATGATTATCTAAAAACTTTTTTCATATGATTCTTGTTACAAGTGTTTGTACACAAAGTTGTGTGAGAATATTGTGATATTCATTTGTCTCCATGTTGATTATATGATTGATCATTAGCAATGATATGAATGGAATTCTAAAAACAAAGAGGTTTCTAACTTCCGCATTCAAGATGGATGATCTTGGACTAGTTGACTCACTTTTGTGGATCAAAGTAAAGCGAAATAGTGGGGGTTATGAACTTATTCAAATACACAATATTGAGAAAATGTTTGATAAGTTCAAACACTTACGCTTTAAGTGACCACTCTATTTGATCCTAGTTCCGAATTTCAAAAGAATGACGGAAGAGTTGTGGCTCAATTCGAATATGCAAGTGCATGCAATGTACTAGACCCAACATAGCATTTGCAATTAATAAAATGAGTAGATTTTACTAGCAATACAAATGGTGGGCACTGGAAGGCCATCATTAGGATTTTCCGCAATCATATGAAAACAATTTTTTTTGGTATCCATTATGGTAGATTTCTTGCCCTTTTTGAAGGACATGTCGATGCGGGTTGGATATCGATTGTTGAATATAATAAATCTACATTTGGATGGATATTTACACTAGCCTGGGTGCAATTTCTTGGAAGAGAAAGAAACAAATATCAAGAAGTCTTGATAAAATTACCCTCTTTAAATGGAACACCAACATATTATGATGTGTCATTCTTTGCAAATTGTTGGATGGGAGAGTTGGTTCAAACAACAAGATGGATATGTCCATGATAGACGTATCCACCCAATCTATTATAAGATTAACTAATCACTGAGGATTAAGAATGTTGATATATCCTCAACAAAAAACCTTGCTTTGATCACTATCATTGAAATCCACCATCATCAATCATTATTGGATCAGAGACTTTAAAAAAACGGTATCCTTGAAAGTATACTCTTTGTTTTCCACAGCTTCACTTACAATACAACTTTGAGTTGTAAATCATCATTGCAAAATATACTAGGGTTTCACTTTTGGTACCCAAATTTTCTTGGGTCTAAGTGTGTTATTTCTTCCAGAAGGTCTAAGGTTACTACCTTTAGACCTTTTCAACTTATCAAAGCAAAAGGGCTCTAAGTGGCAAAGTTTATTGCAATGTGAGCATTTATAAATGAGACGATCCTTTTTCTTCTTGCCTAATCCTTTAGGAGTTCTTTTATGTGATTTAAATCTTAGTCCGCTTTTATTTAAGGAAGGTCTTTGACTTGATAAAGTCAAATCAATATTTTCTTTCCCCTTAGTAAATTTACTTTGGGTTTCATCTAGATTTGTCACTTAATTTTTCAATGAGACATAATTATCACAAGTTTTTGTTGAATTTCTAATATTGGTCATTTATAACTTAAGGTTTTTATTGTTATCTTCAAGAAACTCTAGATACTTTTTAAGGTCTAAGTTATATTTTTTAATCCTGACATTTTATTCAATCAACTGAGCACTAATTTTAAATAATTTCTTGTAATATAGTTTGGTTATCTCATAATCATCTTTCTCTTAAGATGCTTTCAAGAAAGCTTCGTCTTCTTTTTTTGAAGACGATTCTTCTATGGTTCTCCTCGATGTTGATTCTTTTTCTCTTTCTTTACTAATATTTTGCTAGATGTTTCCTCTTCACATTCTCTCGCATATGAGGTTCCTTCATTAGATGTTGAATTTTCCGAGAATTGTTCAACTTCTGAGTTTGTTCTTTCAAAGGATACCATGAGATTTATTTGATAGGAGATTGATGAGGTTGTTAAGGATTCTTCGATATTCGAGCTAAAACCTTCATCTTTGAGTAATTGGACTAATTTGTTCAAGTTTTTTATAAATTCATTCTTCTTTTATTTTTCCCGAGATTCATGAACACTCTCATCTTTTGATTTAAGTATTAAATTAAGTTTCCAATTCTTAATTCTTAGAAATTAGTTAGTAACAAATGTTCCAATATAATTTCCAACATTCCTAAATTTGGAAAAGCATTTATGAAAGAAGCTTTCAACTTTTTGGCCTTGTGCGTTCATTTCCTTTTGTTCGATACTTGTAGAAACTCCATATATCATTTCAAGAGTATCTCATATCTCCTTGGAAGTTTTGCAATTATAAACATAAACAAGTTTACTTTAATTGTCTTCTATTTTCTAAAGGAAATTTGGTTTATCTACTAACTTTCCACCTATTTGGTGAGTAGGGATAAACAGACCATTGATTAGAGTTTCCACAATTCAAAGTTAATACTTTGAATAAAGATTCTAAATCTAACTTTCCATATTTCAAACCTATCACTTTTAAACAGTTGAGGTGTGTTTAGAAAAGACATTGTTTAAAAACGTGTTGGAAGTCATCTTTCTCCTGAGACGATTAGTTCTTAAATATGAGTTAGACTCTGATGCCACTTGTTGGACACATGACTCCACACACAAGAGGGAGTGAATTGTGGGTTTAAAAAAATGATAGCTTGAAAAATTTTATTTATCATTATCAGAGTTTGAAAACATTTTGACAAAATTGTTTAAGAAATTAGCGGCGAAAAATAAATAAGCAGAAAATAAAAAGTTAAGGGTAAGAGAAGCGACACCAGAAATTATAAAGGTTCAGTCGAAATGAAGTGACTTAATCCTCTCTCTAAGATTTGATCTTGAGAGTATCTATTAATTCTTAAGAGATTTTAGTAGATTGAACTCTCGAACCCCCTAATTCTAGGAAAACTAAAGTTTCATGCTAACTTTCAACCAATCAACACTAGAGAGAAGAAGTTAATCTTCATTCCAAACAAAAGATTGAAGACATTAGTCTTTTTTCTAAACAGCAACTTGAAGCGGTTAGTCCCTAAGTTAAATCGAGATTTTCCACAGGCTTAGCTCGAACCTAGGTGCGATTTTGAATTGGGTTGAACTCACAAACTGAATTGAGATTTTGACCAGTCTGACCACAAACCACTGAGATTTTAAACCAAACTTATCTCGAACCAATGCAAGTTTTTGATCGAGCTGAGCTTACGAATCAACTTGAGGTTTTTACTAGGATAACCACAAACTAAGTTGAGATTTTAAACCAAGTTGATCTCGAACTAAAGAAAGTTTTTACCAGGCTTAGCTTACGAACCAAAGAAAGCTTCTTACGAGGGTTAGCTTACGACCCAAACTGGTGACATAAAACCTAAATTCTCAAACCAAAGTTTTAGCTTCGAACCCAAACAAACACTACCTTATGGATAAATTATTCGACCAATATAAACAAAATTCCTTAGTGAATTAGCAATTATGATCCTTCCAGAATACAAGATTCCTAAAAAAAAACCATCTCGAAAGCGCCACGACTAATTTTAAATGAGAGAAAGTGAAAAATATTTTTTAAAGAGAGTGAGGAATGAGATAGAATGCTTACGATTTCAGATGTTAAATTGAAACGGAATGACCACTTTTTATAGGCTAAAGATTGACACACACAAAATTTAATGTAACAATCGATGGACATCTTACTCCAATCAATTCGAATCGTTATCATTCTTTAGAGTGTTATCACAAATATTTAAGGACAAATTTTATATTAACCCAATCATTGATTGAACATATACTAGCAATATATAACTCCTCTCACTTAACCACAGCTACATTAGTATTTTTGTTTTATATATATATATATAGAATCATTTATATTTGATTTTAATGTCATTTTAGCCCTTCTATTTAAATTTTTAATCATTTTTAAATTTTTTGGTTTTTTAGTCATCACTTTTTTAATCATTTATATTTTTTGGAATTTTCTTGATCTCTTTTAAATTCGTTTTGTTGGCACTTCATTTTATGATATGTTATTGTGTACGTGACACCACGTCATAAATATATATCACGTCACATTTTTCATTTTAAAAATTAATTAAATAATATTTATTGATCTATTATTGGTGATGTATGTCAAACAATGAATAGCTAATGAATGACAATTTAAACAAAATGAACTTTTTGCATTTGGTGAGAGTTGAAGACAAGCCCTATCCACAAGTACCAATCCTTAACGATCTATACTAGTTCAAGCCCGTGAAATTTGTTAAAAATTGCCCTAATCACAATATTCAAATCAGAAACATCGAAGATGTTAACTACCAATAGAAAGTTCAAACTGAAACTTTTATCCCATTGAAATTTCTAAGAATTTTTTAACTTCATCTTCTTGTACAAAAAGTCATATTTAAATCAGATACATTACAAGACTTCATATCTTCATTTTCCGCACTGGTTTTTTCTCACATCTATACAATCTTACACAAAATCTTTAATGCTAATAAAAAAATTACTAGCTAATTAGCCTATGGAGACACTCAAAAATCAGTGTTTTCACAGCACATGTAAGGAGAATTTCAGGTCCTCCCAGGATAAAATCTTTTACTCTTTGCTTCCAACTTTCCGCTTCTTTCTTTTGGAAGTTGGCATCGAACTGTAAACGTAAATAAAAATATTAAAAACAGCTCAAGTGCAGATGATAGCGTCGTTGAATTTCATGAATGAATAATGAAATACCCCCTCTTATAAAGACATTTACAGGTCATAATGTAGAACAGTTAACACACCCCTCAAACACTGAGCCTTTGAGGTGTGACTCAATCGATCAAGGATAGCTACATAGAATTTAACTTGGGCCTAACTTAACTTTACACAATTGACTTGTAAGATGAGGGAAATAACTCAAAAACTTTCAGGTCATATATCACTCAACGTAGTACTGCCAGCACAAACCCATCTGACACTAATTACTAGACTTTTGGTGTCTTATCCGGATGTGAGTATTAATAGTATCATATTTGACGCTAAGACCTGAAAATGTGTTTAAATAAGAGTTTGGCATAGGTACCTTGTTACTAGAATAGGTTGTATATCAGCACCAACAACTTTACTAAGCTCTTCAATAGTTGCAGAAACTTCATTACTACATTTAAGTATATTGCACGCATCCAAGAAAGCAACAGATTTTACAAATGATGTTTCTTTTACCTCTGTTTTGAGATTTTCCATCAAAACAAATGCTGCACAAATAAAAGAGTCACAAATCGTTAAGAATTCAGATATTGAAATAGTTCAACTAAAGCGGATTGATTTTCAAGCACGAGACATTAAGAATTTCATTCAAAAGGTGTTAAACAAAAGCATATGACATACCAATAGCTCGAATCGTCTTAAGGTCAAATCTGTCGGCCAAGTTTTTACAGCCTATCCTTTCCGCTCGCTTAGTGATCAACAGTTTCAAGCTAACCATAAAATCCTGCCAAGATTTATTTAAAAACATAATGAGATGGTGATCTCGCCAATTTGATTAGCAGGTCGATTTAAAAAGAACTGAAAATAAATTTACAATCTGAGACTCTGAAAGAGAGCAAATCCAATCGATATCTTGAAGCCTAGTCTCATTGTTGATTTTATCCAACTCAACCGGTCTTTCCAATCTCTTGTTCAAGTTTCTAACTTTCTTCATGGGGTCGAATCAAGTAGTGTAGTTAAGACCTGAACACATTTGTTAAAAAATTGTATTAAAAATAAATAAGAGATAATAGGAAAAAATTGTGGAGTGTTAGACTAACAAATAAAGAATGATAAGATGGGTCAGATTATTTGATTTGGCTTCATTTATCCAAAGAGAAACAAATTTGCAAGGTTTCTTCAATAGCGCAGAGCATACATGGAAAATCATATATCAGAATAACATAATTCCTAACAATAAAAGAAATCAGTAATATATATAAATTCATGCTATGTAATATATATAAAAAAAAACAAACTAAATTACACATATTTTATTAAAACTCACACTAACAGTAACATCATTAACAAAGACTTACATTATAATAGTATATGTCTTTTAAAATCACACTCACACTCATGAATTTACTAGTCATGCTAATGCTCACTATAAAAAAAATACTTGAAAAACGCACGGTACAGAAAAATAGCCAAAAGCAACCTCAATATATACACTATGCAAAAAAATACTTTCACAATATTTACTATGCTATAATGATCAAGAATGCAACCTTAACACAGTTAAACTAAAATATTCGCACCATATTTCAGAAGCAAGATTTTTAACACTATCGGAACCAAAATGGCAATTTATTTGAAATCACAAGCTACTGCTCTCAACAACTTTAAATTTCACCCGACACTTCCATCGAAACGACAAAACAATCGACACCATAACACATTGTAAAAAAAATATTTTGCCGTGCATTGAGAATCATGAATCCACAACAGTAGCACAAAAGCAGATATATAACAATTGTATCGAATTGAAAACAAACTTTCTACAACCAAAATGCAGTAAGACAGAGAAATTTGTAATAGCTTAGCAAAACAAACAAATAACTAAATCAACCCGAAGCAATATAACAGATATTTTCAAAAGATACGTGAAACTATTACCAAGAGTAGATCTCCGTTGCCGCAAGTTACCATGTCTTTGGGCTAATTGCTGCAATGCATGGCTGGAAGTTCCCCGCGCGATGATGGGTTTGTGGTGGGTGGCGGCCGAAATGGAAGGGGGAGAAGAAAATTTTGAGGGAAGAAGGAGATGAGTTAGTTGGCGGCTAGGGCTGATTGGGGAGAAACCAAATTTTAGTTTTTTCTTTTGGATTTTGGAAGATGACAGTAACCCTTCCCCTCCTCCGTCCGTGTTTTCAATTTTCAAATCTATTTCTAATCCTATTTATAATTTTATTTCTAATTTAAATTCTAATTTAATTTAATTTTTTTAATTCTTAAATTATATTTCTAATTCTAATTAATTAAAAACAAATAAAATTATATTAAAATATCAACATCATTATATCATTATGAACATTATCTAAAAATAAAATTAATAATGATAAATAATCAAAAAAGAAAGCCACATGTCACAAATTCATTGGACAAAAGGTGAAAAGATTATTTTTGCTGAAAAATATGTTACGCTGTACAAGCGATGCGAATTGAAAATAAAATCGGGCGAATGAAGATTTTTGAAAAAGGTAAGACAAATTTGGGGTATGACACCGACATACGGCGTTAGATGACTCTCATCAATCTAAAGGGTGGTGAACAGGTGGGCGTACATTATATCCACCGAGCTCCCTTGATCGACGAGAATGCGTCAGAAGTCAAAGTTCGCCATCTTCCACTTGGACAAGAATGAGCCAAACCAAGTTTTTTGTCCAAGTGGAAGATTCTTACACAAGAAATGAAGCTCCAATCATTATTTTTCCATCTGTTGGGAAGCTTCTGTTAGGATTAGATTAGGACCATATCCCTTCCCTAAGTTATGTAACTTATTTATATAAAATTCTATTTTCTTCTTGGTTCCTTTGATTCCTAAGTTAAGTGAGAAGCTGTTTTGCCACTTTATGTAGCATTTAATCTCTTATATGATTATTATTGAAGTTCATTTATCAACATGCTAATATTAAGTAGCAATTGTTCATTTTTACACTATTCACAAGCACAAAAGAGTAAATGTAAGCACTAAGCAGAGAAAATTGATGAAGGAATAAAGGCAAACAAAGGGGCCAGGTCAGTGTTAGCCAAGCTGTGAACACCATGCTTTTATGATCCCACACAGCTGTCAACTCATAGCAACAAAAAGGCTAATTATGTGATGTGATTGATTATTTACTATGAATGTATCAGAAACCTCTATATAGCCTTAAACAAGCTCCCAGGGCCTGGAACAAAAGGATAGACAATTACCTAGTTAAATTGGGATTCACATCTAGATAGAACATGTACTAGTTCATAACACAAGCCAATGCAACAACTAACCTGACTATTTCAGTCCTTGCAACTAGTGCATAACTTCTGTGAACTTAAGGCGGGCTCGTTGAAAGAAGCCATTTGCAACTATACTTGCTTTATGTTGTGCAATTGATCCATCTGGATTGAGTTTCAACTTATACAGTAATTTAACTTCAATGGCTTTCTTGTCTAATAGTTGCTTGACAAGCTCCCAAGCTTGGTTTCTTTCAATGGCACTTATCTCATCTTTCATTGCAACTTTCAAAACTTCTTACTTTAGGGTATCATGATGATTAATTGGTTCTGCATATACCATTATAGAAAAATGCACTAAGTCTCCTTCTTCGGCGTCTTCATTGTCATTTACCAGCGCACACTCTTGCAATCAAGCTGGAACCACTCTTATTCTCGGTGGTTTCCCACTTCAATCGCCAGTGCCTTCTTCATTTGATGAATTTCCTTCCTCACTATCAAAGTTATTTATCAAGGAATTCATCAATGGCTTGTTTGAGGTGCCTTTTAAGTTAACATCTCTACTAATGGCAATCTTTTCAATTTTGGGATTGTATAGTCTATAGACTCCAAGTACATGGTAGCAAAAAAGGATCATTTCTTCACTCTTATCACTACTTTCCTTCTTCTTGCATCAGAAATGTGTTAGTGGCACAAAGATCCAAACACTTTAAGGTGGTTCACACTAGGCTTCTTGTCACTCCAAATTTCCTTAGGGGTCTTCCTTTTTAATGTATTGGTGGGACATTTGCGATTATGGCTTCACTGCAAAATTAATTTGGAATGCTTCTTTGCTTCAACATATATCTTGCCACATTTAGGATAGTAATATTTTTCCTTTCAGTCAGGCCATTGTGTTGAGGTGTGTAGGGAGTTTTGACCTCCTGTTGGATGTCATGGTTAACACAAAAAGTTTTGACCTCCTGTTGAGTTTGATTCTCAGCCAGTACCTTGAATCTTTTGAACACTTCCAAATACTTCATCCTTGGATTTGATCACGTAAACCCAAAATTCCATATCATACTCATCTAAAAAAAGAAACGAAGTAAATGTTTCCTCCTAATGATGCAACGTCAAAAGATCCATACACGTCTAAGTGAACTACCTCTGATACACTAGAGGATCTCATAGATAGATGAGACTAATAACCTAACCAAGCAACCTTCACACATCTTCTCAAGCATCGAGAATTTGGGTAGGCTTGTCTCTATTTACCAACTGGTTTAGAGATATAAAGGTTAGATGGCCAGTCCTTAGATGCCAAAGCCAACTGAGTTTGTGTTCCATCACTACTTGAAGACATTGCACTTTTGTAGCACTAGTTTTTGTTTGAAATGTTATGTTTTGGGTTAAAGGTAATCTTAGCATAAGCACATTTCCAATCATGTGGTTGGAGCACCCTGTGTCAAGATGCCAAGATTCAGGTTGATGATCCTCCTTAGATATTGCATCTATTAGAACAACTGGTTCCTCATTTGAGTCATCTTGTGCTACATTGACCTCACCATCACAGTCTTTTTCCTAGCTCTTGCCTTTGCCAAACTAGCAAACACTTGAATAGTGATCCCATTTCTATGAATGCGCTTTTTGTCTTGGCCTTTCTTTGTATGCTTATGACTTGACGTCCCTCCTCTTCTCTTGGAGGATTTAAGTCTCTCCTTATATTTGTTCTTTTGTGAGCTAAGACAAGATCCTTTTATGAACGTTCCTTTGCCTTGCCCTTGAATTTTCCATTTTCTTCATTCTTCTTGAATGTCTGGGCATGTAATGCATGAATTGAATCTTGAATTCCCTTCATGTCCACTATTCTCAACTCATGTGCTTCCAATGAGCCTTGTAGTTCTTTTATCTTCAATATGGATATGTCACTTGATTCCTCGATTTCTACCACTACATGATCAAATTGAGGAGTCAAGGTTCGCATTATCTTCTCAATGATCATCTTATAAGTGACAGTCTCTCCATAATTTTTCATGGAATGAACCAAGGTTTGAAGCCTTGATACATACACAACAATCTTCTCACTCTATCGCATCGAGCTTGTTGCATGAGAGATCTTTTCAAAGTTAACTGCATCAACAGCCTAATGAATGATGATGAATGAAGAAGGTAGCTTTGCAATCTTTTTTCCTTGAATCTTTGTAAGTCGCTCTTTGAGCCTCGGTTAAATTTGAACCAAGTTCTTAAACTCCTGCGTTCACCACTTCAAAAACATTTTGAGAGCCCAGCAAAGCCTTCATTTCTAGATGTCATTTTCCCCAATTCTTGCCCTCAATGATTGGGAGTGTACCGGGGAAACCATTTCCACTAGCCATTGTGCTCAAAACAGAAAAACAACCCAAGATTGTGTGAATCTCACACAAACCAAAGGGCTCTAGATACCAAATTGTAATTGATTGATAATGAATTGAGTAGTTCATTAAGAACAATGATACAACCATTTATACACCAGTAACTTGCATCACAAGGCATGACTAACTAACTTTCTAGGTAGTTATAACTAACTAACTACCTTAACCAATTCACATTTGGATTATACAACAACTTGTAACATTGTAAACCCTAATTTCCTTCACAATCAATAATACTAAACTATTCGGAGGCGTGGGCACACTTGGCCAAACGTAACCAAATATTGTGTGTTCAATTGTTTTGCACTTTATCGTTTCTTTTCTCTTCTTATACTAGTTGTTCTTCTAGAATTTACTAATAAAACAAAATATGTTATCATAACTTACTGTAAACACCGGAGAAATTTTCTACGTACCTAAATTCACATGATCGTCATCATCAACTTTGACATAAAATTCTGCATCCCACAAGGCAACAGCGGTTGAAAAGTATGTTTTCGTCTTAGCTGATAATTCCATGTATCCCTCGATGTGGTTCTGTTCAAGTTCAACATGATGTAATTTGTTGATTATAAAAAAGAAAGTACATAAAACAAAGGACATGTAATTATATATTTGAATGAAAATAACAGGAGAGAAAGATCACCAGCCTCAAAAAGTCAGCATGAAGTTTTTCCTCAGCTTCAATAGCTTTGTCAAGAATTCCATCCATTGTAGAACTATAGATAAAAAGGTTAACTAAATAAGTGTAGTAGTAATGCAAACACCGCGAAGAAATATGAGTTTAACCAACCTGTTGATGTTAGCCCCAAGGTTTTCATGATTTTATGTCAGTGACTTTGGCATATTATTTAATGTTCATCCAAATAAAAAAAAAATGTTTTGAAAAGGACAGTGAATATTAAGAGACGTTGAATCTGACCTGTGACCTATAACAAAACGTATGACTATGCCCTTTTCTTCCTCCAACTTCTTTCTATCCTCAGCTGATGGAGTTTTATTCGAAACCGTGGATCAGATGCATTAGGTACATAGAAGCAAAAAAAGAAGAAAAAACTAGGAGACATTGAAATATCATAAATCACCTTGTGGCATCCAAGTTTCTCGAACAGAATCTCTTCGTTTTCTGCTGCTAAAAGTTGTATTGATCCCTACAACCATGAAACATTTTTTCCGCGGAGTTGATTCGACTCTCTCTGGTTTTCCTGATACAGGCAAACCATTGACTATAAATACAGGCATGAGTCATCAAAGCAAATTTAAGATTCAGCTCCAGCGTAGATAGTCTTACTCGATTTCCTGCAGTTTATGCATAAAAATGAGTTTAGAATTACAGTTTTCTGATAACAATATAAGTAGATTCAATACAAATAATAATTGGTTTGGCTTACTTGATAACACTCTGGATATTTGAAACTTCAACTTTGCTGTAATTGTAGCTAGGCTTTACAACCTTTAGTGTTAGATTACATCCGTCAGCGTTTAAATTTCTTTCTTCGATCTCTCTAGAAATCCTTGAAATTTCTTTATATTCAGACGGCCGCATCCTGAATGATTGAGAATTTAGGGTCAACATTACACATTATTATAAATTTTTGCTCCCTTGAGTAGTAATCAAAGGTGAAAACTAGCTTCATTTTCTAATTATAATAGCAAACACATGGTTTTAAATTGGCGTCCGCAACCGCAATTGCAGCCGTAATATTGCTGATGTAGTAGTCCCCGCAACTGCATCAGACTCTGCAATGACGGTGCGATTTGAAATTATGCGTCCTTCTACATCAGGAACCCATCAGACAACTTCGCTCAGGTTTCTTCAAGTATTTTCGTCAAAACTCAGAATGTAGAACCCAAAAGTTAAATTTACATGCCGAAATGCACATCGCACCAATCACAATGACCGGGATCACAACACACGCAACCGCATCCGCGACCGTAATTTAAAACCATGAGCAAAGGAGATGAACAAAAGTTCAAGTTATATTCAAAAAGCCACCATTCATTTAAGCTCACTATAATGCAGCCTAGAAACTCAATTACTCACTAAGATCATAACTGAGAGAAAAAAATAACAAAAATCAAAACTTGATAATGAAATTGAAAAACCCAGAATCAAAAGTTACCTATTAGTGAACAACACTCCAGCACAGATGCTTGCCAAACATAGCATAAGAGCCCATTTTCTGTGTACAACAGTCCTTGCACCTACTTCTACACCACCTACTTTGATTTTCACCGACATTGTTCTCACCCTCTTCTTGTTCCCTTTACTATAAACAAAACCCACAAAAGATAAATTAAAAAAACAAACTTTACAAATTCTATAGCATTACCTCGTACGGGTTTGGAACAAGAAGAGAGAGTAGAGAGGAACAACCTCGTAAATATTTATTTAAAACAAATAACGGTAACTGTTACTCAAAACCTTAATTTCAGTTCCTTAAAAACTGCTAAATGTTTTTTATTCAACAAGTTTTCATCTCAACTCAATGAATGGTCTCTCATAAATAACAGTACTTGCAGTGTTAATGAAAGAGTTGGGTCCTTACAGTGTGAAAGGGAGGGGGCTGCAAGCAAGATATACATGATTAATGAAAGAGTTGGGTGTTGAGTAAGGTGGAGTTCATTTGCATTGTGATAGTCATAGTGTTATCTATTTGACAAACAATTAGGTGTATCATGCTAGGACCAAGCATATTGATGTGAGGTCCACAAGATTAGGAAGTTGGTGGCGTTCGGGCAGATATTACTTCAGAAGGTTCACGTTTGAGAGACAACTGATATGTTGACCAAGGCAGTCACCATTGATGAGTTTAAACATTGTTTGGACTTATTACATATTTTTCAGTGTTAAGTAGGAGGTATATCTCCTCTGTTTTTAGGATGAATCGTTATGTAAGAAGTTTTCATAGGAGTTTGATATTGGTCAAGGTAGAAATTGTTAAATATGACTCATATTGTTGAGAAATTATGAGTTGAGATAATTATGGGTTGTTGAGAAATTATGAGTTGTTGAGATAACTATGGGTTGTTGAGATAACTATGAGTTGTTGAGAAATTACGTGAACAAAACTTGTATGTATTTTTCTTACTCTAATCTCTGGACTTCTATTCTAATAAGAGCACATTTAAAATAGTCGTTCACGTGTGCTAACATTGATCGAAGGATTAACAAGTACACAATTGAAAATCCAATTCACATATGGATAAGGCTTTGTTGTTGTGAAAAAAGTTAATTGTGAAAATTCCGGATAAAAGAAAAAGAGCATAGTCTTTGTTAACAATATAAACTGTAATGATAAAAGTAAACCTTTTTATCCATCAAAAACGTGTGAAAGCAAATCTATCTTTCCCTTAGTTATGGGCATTCCTTACGGAAACATGGTCCCATGAAGAATGCATGCGCCTATTATTATTATTATCATTCTACTTGCTCATGTCACGGAAACCCAACATAACTATATCAAAATGACTTGTATTAACAAAAAGTTGATATGTTAACAAGTCTACTCATACATCTGTCAAAGATTCCAAAAGTCATTTCCTATTTGAATTTCATGTAAGTGTGGTTGGCACTGCCACTGACAGTAGCAACAGACCAACTTAACCATCCATCTCAACTCATAATAAATATCTAATACTCAACTCTCTTTCTTTCTCTCTTTCCTTTCATATATATGCCATATCCTTCACCACTCTTGTTACATTTTTCATGTTTATCTTTCATAGTACTATATGTTTTTCTGTTATTGTTTTCCTCAGAAATTGCCGGGTCGGCGGGAACATGATATTTTATAGTTGACTGCATGAAATGAGATATTGGTGCGGTTCAATCAGAACACAATGCTTTATAATTCATAAAAGCTCTCTGTTATTTGATTGAGTCGTGCCAATATCACGTGTTAATTAGGCAAATGCAATCACACGCGTGAATGAGATTGATTACCATTTCTCTGATTCTTTAATTTCTTCTGCAGATTTGATCTTCATCCAGCAAGCAACTAGTTTTTCCTCTCTAGGGTGGGATCATACAAGAAATGAATTGGTATGGTGGGTAGGGAACTAAGTCATTAATTTGTTGTACCTTTTTTGAAGATGGTAGGGACTTTATTCATTTGAGGGCAGATCAACAGGTAACAAATAAGTACTTTTTCATGTTTTCTTTGCTTCTTTTTGAAGGTTCTATAGATTAACAACTTTTTACTTATTTTAGTTAAGACTGTTTAATGCAGAATCTAAGACTTGGAACTTCTAGAAAGTTGAAGCATTCAAGCATGGAACTTTGAATTTGAACAAGTCTCTGATAGATAAAACCATAGCAGTTGAGATGTTTTTTGGTAAATTTCATATTGGTTGTAATAAGCTAGTAAAACAGCATTCTCATTTATGAAATGAACAACTTTCCTTCAAATTTAATGGCTCAAACTATTTCTCTGCAAGTTCCAAATTTCATGTATATTGTTCTGTCAAATCTGATATTTTTGACGCAATCATGAGAAATAACTCAAATTATATTGAAATTTTAAGGGAAATAAGTAAGTTCAGTGACAGTTGGATATAACGAGAACTAATTATTACGAAACGTTAGACGTGGCTGAGAACTAGAATGGAACGCTCTCCGGCCACGTATCAAAAGAATATGCTGGTTGCTACTCTACTCTTCTACTTGTTCATCTCTTCCGCGGTTACCTCATTCTCCTTAGTTTGGAAAAAGAATGACTCTCAAGCATTGAGTATCCAACTACTTGTACGCATAGCATGCAATGCCTTTCATACATGTTACTCTTTCAAGTTTCTGAATCTTGTGCTTCTTGAGTTTAGAAGGCGAGTTGCGTCCTGTCAAAAAGTTGTGCTCCACAATGCATTTTCATCCTCTGCGCAACGCTCGTGAACATACTTCATCCTCGTAACAGACCTGCAAATCCCGCTGCATTTCCAATCAAATGTAGCAATGCATGTATTACCTGCCTGAGCCTTCCACTCATAATCTGCACAAGGGCAATACTGTCAGAAACTATCAAAAAATTATCGTATCTGGGTTTTGAATGTAGAATCAAAAGAACATACCAGGGGGGGAGCCGCAACATATTCTCCTATCGTCGATATGTTCCACATCTAAACCTATGAACCATGATCCCAATGAAACATCTTCATTCGCATATTTATGCAGCACATCCCTGATATCATAAAAAAATGCTACCAATCTATCAAAGAACTACCGTGTTGCCAAATTAGTCGGAAAATTATTCAGTTATTTTTTCGAGTAAAGACCACAAAACCTACTGATTTATCAATATATAAGTTGCCAAATCTTGTGAAATGGCATATAATTGTCCAGTAGCATGACGAAAGTACTTGTTTCCAATCTCGCCAAACTTCCAGTATTCCGGTTCATGGTATTTCACTCCCCTGTGGCAAGACCGTTACACTAGGAAATAGTTTTAAACTTACTGAAAAAATTACAATTCAGCTTTTCTTACCTCTGGGCAAGGACGGGACCAGATTTCATGCACCCAACATACACCCGAGGTTTCAGACGGTGCATACTCAGAGTCGACCCAAGATTTGCTGAGATTTAAAAAGAATAACAGACAATGAGGAAATAGTGAATGTTCGTATTGATCAACAATTGAAATTGCTTAGCTAACTAACTAAGCTTGTGAAAAACATGTTACGTAATCTACACAAGCTTACACTGGTTGAATAGTGATATCTATTATGAATTTGAAAGAAGAAAAGTAAGGAAGTTGTAATTTATTCATAATGAATTGAGTAGTTCATTAAGAATAATTATACACCATTTACACACTAGTAACTTGCATCACAAGTTATTGATCTAGTGTTGAATAACTAACTTCCTAGGTAGCTATAACTAACTAACTACCTTAACCAACTCACACTTTGGATTATAAAAACCGCATACTTCTTCAGTCCAAGTGTTGATATGCCAATCATTCAAGAAATTGAACCCAGTACATTCCTAAGATACAAAAATTGGCTTCCTTACATGCACCCACAGTTTATTTTGTACTCATTCAACCCAAATTGTTTGGCATGCCACGAAAGATTATGCTTCACAAGATGAAAAAACTAGCAATGATTGCTTCTGATCACCAGAAAATTGGTGCTCCAAAGAATTGAAGTATATATCTTGTGGTCCTTGTCTTATTCACCTTATCTCCACACCAATCTGCATCAGAAAAAACAAATGATCACATCATCATTTTGTTTTGCAGTTGCTAAGAACATTAAGCCATATCCATGTGCTCCATATGGGTATCTCAATATTCTTCTTTCAGCATTCATGTGAGATGGCTTGGGATCATCCATGAATCTGCACTCACTAGACCAACTGGAAAGCATATGCCGTGCCTTCTATTGCAGAGTATCTTTGTGATCCAACAATTTGCTTGAAAATTGTCGAATCCACCTTTCTTCATTCTTAAGCATCAAGTTTACCTCTATAGGAGTGGATGTAGGATTGCAATTAATCATTTTGAACATTATTTATAACTTCTCTGGTGTACTTCCTCTGATGCAGGGTTATGCCATTTGAGTTTCTAGCAAACTCCATACATGGAAAATAGGATAAGGCTCCCAATCTATCATTTCAAACTCAGCCATCGTGAGCTCCTTGAATCTCTTCATGTTAGCTTGTATTGTTACCGGTTACTAGTAGATCATCCACATATAAGCATATAAGGATTATGCTTGAAGTAGAAGATGGCACATATGCACCATAATCAGTTGTGCGCTTAGTGAATCCCAATTTAACTAGGTAATTGTCTATCCTTTTGTTCCAGGCCCTGGGAGCTTGTTTAAGGCTATATAGAGGTTTCTGATACATTCATACTAAATAATCAATCACATCACATAATTAGCCTTTTTGTTGCTATGAGTTGACAGCTGTGTGGGATCATAAAAGCATCGTGTTCACAGCTTGGCTAACACTGACCTGGCCCCTTTGTTTGCCTTTATTCCTTCATCAATTTTCTCTGCTTAGTGCTTACATTTACTCTTTTGTGCTTGTGAATAGTGTAAAAATGAACAATTGCTACTTAATATTAGCATGTTGATAAATGAACTTCAATAATAATCATATAAGAGATTAAATGCTACATAAAGTGGCAAAACAGCTTCTCTTATCTTATGTGACTTAACTTAGGAATCAAAGGAACCAAAAAGAAAATAGAATTTTATATAAATAAGTTACATAACTTAGGGAAGGGATATGGTCCTAATCTAATCCTAACAGAAGCTTCCCAACAGATGGAAAAATAATGATTGGAGCTTCATTTCTTGTGTAAGAATCTTCCACTTGGACAAGAATGAGCCAAACCAAGTTTCGATAGAACTTTCAGAAAGGCGTAAATGGGAAGGGTAGACAAGGCCAAGGCAAGTTATTGTACGCCGCTCAACTTGGCCCAATCTATGAACTGCATACCACCATAGATGTTGTTGCCAAATCGCACACCAACAGTGAACGCCATTGCAACAAGTGGAACCTTCTTTGCCACTGAAGATTTTTCGACGATGCTTTCCAGTCCGTTGATAATTTGATAACGGGTGTTGGATGACACAGCGAGGAAGAAACCTGAGATAGAGCAGGCAAATTTATTAAGCAAATTACATATAATTGCAATGAAATCTTGTATGACAGTGCAAGACATTGGCATACCCCAAAGAGCTGCACTTTGCAGAAGAGGAGGAATCGGTATGTCATCTTCAGATTTACTAATGCTCCTGTTTTTATTTAATAAGAAAACGAAGAGTTGCATTGTAATTTTGTATCACAGAAAATCAAGAAATGATGATAAAACAATGCAACCAACCAAAGCAATAGTAGTCGAAAGACATATTTGTAATAAAATCATACCTTTTGGCATTCATGATCATATTAGCAATTCCTTGACCAACAATACCACATCCAAAGCCAACAGATCCGTACAACGCACCCTAAACATATGGTGTAAGGTATTCACAGGAATGTCACTAATAAGTTCGACAAAGATGGCATCATACATAGCAAGCACCAAAGCAAGCTTGATTCTATTATTGTTGGATTTTTCGTATGACCTATATTCCGTCACACTGTTAAATACTTATTTATCACTTTAAGTTTAAGAACATATGGTACCTTGTAGAAGTACGTGGCAACGCGCTGCATCGCAGAGAATTTGCACCCTGGTCTTTCAGCTTCAAAAACACTGCATTCAAGATAATAATTTAGAATTACATGGAGGATTTCCGGTCAACTAAAAACTTTGCCAGGCACAAATATACACATAAATGCAGACACAAACCTGCTAGGAAGCGCAGCACAAGCATGCTGAATGCGTCCGAGTAAACCTTTTGACAAAGCAGGCTTGCCAATTCGTGCATAAGGTGCCAACATACCCACCAAAGCAATGTCAACAACCACACCAACAAGAAGATCAGCAGCATACAACTCAAACTCAGCCCAGAAATCCTCGCCTCTTTTCTGAACCTCCGCAAATGTCGCACAACACGAGTCTATAACAATCTGCACATGACAAATAAACAAAAATCAATAGCCATTAGCATATCAACCAAAACTCTATTGTGACACCAATGACAGAAAAAACCAACCAACCTCAGTTCCAACTTTAAAGAGAAAAGAAGGGTCTGCTAACATTCGATTTCTCAACATAGAACAATGCTTCATCAGAAAAGACAGTGGCCCAGAAGAACCCTACACACACAAACAAACAAAAAACGAAATTAAATAAAAATAATAAAAAATTGAACTTTGAAAGAAAACAAAAAAATTGAAAGAATGAGAAAACCCCACCTGTAATTCCAAGTAACGAAGAAGAAACATTTCACGAATGCCAGTGATCCTCGCCGCTTCTTCCATATCAGAAGGTAACGTAGCACCACGAGCTTCAACTTCTTTCATAACAGCTTCGAAATTCAACAAAGGTCCAAACTCTTCATCTCCTTCACTTTCTCCGCCGCCATCTCCACCATCTCCACCATCTCCACCTCTACCTCCGCCGAAATTGTCGCCATTATCACCTCCGCCGCCGATATCAGGTTGATCGGATATGAGAGGCTCCAACGGAGAGATAGATTCCGATTTGATGCAGCGGATTCTGAAAACATGTGTTTTGTTGAAGGAACTATCGTTGAGAGTGATGGAAGAAAAAGTGTTGAGAGATGGAACAGTGTTGTTGGATTGTGGTGTGTTTGTGTTCCATGTTGTTGTTGTTGTGTTGGAGATGGCGAAACTGAGTGAAGAGAGTGTCATGTTGTTTGTTGTTGTTGTGCCGCAGGTAACAGTGGTTGTTGTTTTGTGAGAAAGAAGAGTGAAGTGGTTTTGGAGCGTGGACGTAGTACTGTAAGTAGTGTAGTTAAGACCTGAACACATTTTTTAAAAAATTATATTAAAAATAAATAAGAGATAATAGGAAAAAATTGTGGAGTGTTAGACTAACAAATAAAGAATGATAAGATGGGTCAGATTATTTGGCTTCATTTATCCAAAGAGAAACAAATTTGCAAGGTTTCTTCAACAGCGCAGAGCAATATAACAGATATTTTCAAAAGATACGTGAAACTATTACCAAGAGTAGATCTCCGTTGCCGCAAGTTACCATGTCTTTGGGCTAATTGCTGCAATGCATGGCTGGAAGTTCCCCGCGCGATTCCTCAACGGATGGGTTTGTGGTGGGTGGCGGCCGAAATGGAAGGGGGAGAAGACAATTTTGAGGGAAGAAGGAGATGAGTTAGTTGGCGGCTAGGGCTGATTGGGGAGAAACCCAATTTTAGTTTTTTCTTTTGGATTTTGGAAGATGACTCTGGGTAATTTGAAAAATGAAAACGAAACGAAGCGTTTTGTTTTTGCATTGGGAAACGATTGCCACGTCAATATAGAAGGGTCCACGTGGCGAGATCTGATTGGTGTTTGAATGCGAAGTGCGAGATTGAAGTTTATGTTTTTGTAGCGGCAGAGAGAGAGAGAGAGATGGAATCGGCGGGACAGTGGCTGGAGAAGGCGTTGGTGGAGTTGTGTTCGAAGATCGAAACAGGTTTGGGTTTAGGTTTAGATGAAGAGATTATAAAAGGGCTTGTTTCTTACTGTGATCTTGCTCAGCCACGAGATGCTAAAGAGTACCTTGACGTAACCCTCGTTTCCCTTTTTCTACTTCTCTTTTGTCAGTGAATCGTTGAATTCGTCTATGAAATTGTAGCAGTGGTATAATATCAATGTTAATAACGTTTTTTATTTTGTGGAATTTAATCAATTTGTTTTTATTGTTGTTTTTTTTTCTTCTTAATCTGGACTCTGCACACCAACTACTTGCGTTTAATACCGTTATTCTGCTAATCAGATTAATGTGCTCTTTTTATTGGATTAGATACATAGGTAAGGTTTCAACTTCAGAAGTTTCATACTTCGGCCTTTTTTTTAAATTGATGGCAGTTCTTGTTTTGTTGAAGTCTGGTCTGTTTCACTGCATAATTGTTGTTGCTGGTTTACTAATTGTTCTTTGAGTTTCGTAAATCAAAATCATAAACCTTTCGGCTTGTTGGAAACTGTTCTTTATTGGGAACACAGAACTGATCACTTGGCTGGAGAAGGTGATGGACCCTTCATCCTCTTCAATGCGAGGGTTCATGCAAAGCGCTCTGATGTTGACATAAGACAGTGCTGTTTAAAACAGGGTTTTAGTAGACTTGATGAAGAGATCATACTTGGGGTTTACCCCTATTTATAGTAGCTTTGTGGTCTGAGGAATGCTGCAATTAGTGTCTTCTGATTGGTCTCTATCCTAAAGTAAACCTTATGAGTGTCTCCTTATCTGATAAGGGTTTGAATGTCTTTCCCTGATTCGCGGATCAGAATCAAGATATGATCTTATCCTTATCTCAGTTATTTGAATTCTTCTTCTGGACCAAAAATTGTATTTACACCTGATTTGCTTGTTGCCCTTTGATGGGCCTATTTTAAAGATGTGAGATGGCCTGTTTTAGGTTCTTAGGTCCATCCCAGTAAACAAACCTTAAAACTTAGTCATGCTAGTACCTCTTGATTAAATTGATAATTTTTTTTTAGGAGGACATAAATTGATGTTTAAGGATGGACTTTTTGAATGTCTTTACTATGCTTTCATATTTGAATTTTTGTGGTGGGCCTTGTTTCAACATATTCTTTGTTGTATTGGTGAATGGAATCTTGTTACCTCTAAACGGAACATTTAACATGCAAATTTTATTTCTGTATCCCTTTGCAGAATATTATTGGTCAAGAAGTAGGGAAACCTGTGATTGAAGAATACCTAAGACGGAGAGATCACTCCGAATTTAGCACTAAATCAGATGTTCCAACTACTACATTACATGCCTATGTCAAACCACCTGCAGTTGAAACATCTGCTACTGGGTCTAAGAAATCGATGAGAACACCAAAAACAGTAACTGTCCGCAGTGACCATGCAGAACCCAACAAAAATGTTGTTGGCAGTAGTAAGGACAATGGGATTCCGGCTACAGGTAGTGAATCAAAAACATCACAAAATGGAAATCAAGTGAGTTCCAGAAAGAAGAAAGCTGGGAAAACTATTTCACTTGCTGAGGCTGCCAAGGGGTCGATTGTGTTCCAGCAAGGAAGACCATGCTCTTGTTAAGCGCGTCGTCACATGCTGATCAGCAATTGCTTATCTTGTGGTAAAATTGTTTGTGAGCAAGAAGGAGAGGGACCTTGCAATTTTTGTGGTGCACTTGTGTTGAAAGAAGGCAGCTCATATGCTGGTCTGGAAGAAAGTTTGCCTCCTTGTCAGACGCTGAGGCTGCTGCTGAAGCTTATGCAAAAAGACTTGTCGATTATGACCGAAATGCCGCAGCTCGTACAACAGTTATTGATGACCAAAGTGACTACTATGAGCTTGATGGAAATACTTGGTTGTCAAAGGAGGTATCCTATTTTGTTTAAAATTTGTCATCTGGTTTTCTTATTATGACATATATTTGGATTTGTTTTCAATTTTATCTTTCTTTCTTTAGGAGAAAGAACTATTGAAGAAGAAACAAGAGGAGATAGAAAAAGCTGAACAAGCAAAACGGAATAAAGTTGTCGTTACTTTTGATCTAGTTGGCCGAAAGGTTTCTATTTTAGCCTTATGGTCTTTGCCTAAAATTACTAGTTTGGTTTGCTACAACATGAGTTTTATAGTAGGATTGGAAACAGACGTCTTTATTAAGTCAACATTTTGGGATCTATGTATGTATCTAATGTTATCATGGTTATCGAACTTAGATTCATAGTGTGAATCATTAATCGAATCTTATTATGAATTGTAAGATACGTTACTAATAAAAGTATAACATTCTTAAGTAAAAGAAAGCGACATGTTAGACTCGTTAGACTTAGTTTAGATAGTGATGCATCAAAATAAATCACGATTCATGTCCAAAATAGATACATACTAGGGATTCTAGTTTCTATCGACAGGGTTCTATTTTCTATTGAATCAAGGTAAGACTCACATTTTTATTAACTGATAACCAGATTTACATATTATTGGTGGTGATTTGTACTGAATGGAAGTTTTAAATGTACCATGCACTAACTCTTTTAGGATCCTATTCGATTAACTATAGTGAATCTATGCAGTTTTAGAATTAGAGCCTAAACTAGAAGATTTAGATGCATTCTTCTTCTTCTTTACTTTTTCTCATTGTTGCTTATATCTTTGTCTGCGTTCTAGTTTACTGCAAAACAGATATAATGCAAAGTATCTGTTTTCTCATTTTGGATTCTAAATTATATCTTTCAGGTTCTTCTGAATCAAGATGAAGTTTCAGAATCAAAGTCCGACAATAGAATATTACGTGCACCAGATGAAAGAGAAGTGAACCGCATTAAACCAAACCCAACTCTTAAGATTCAGCCAGTTTTTGTGGACCTGGGCTTCAGCAAGAAGTCTGCTAACGATAGGCAATCAAACAAAGGTTTAAACAAGGGGTTGTGTTTGGAGATTACTGGGAGGGTGCAGCATGATAGCAATGACTTGAAGTACCTTCAGCAAAGCCAATTCGCAACAGATTCAAATGAAAAAAATTGGCGAGTGCCGTCGGGAAATGGAGGGCTACGTGTTGAAGATGATCGTGAATGTTTACTGGAACTATGATAATGAATAAAAAGCTTCGACATTTTTTTGTTTATGCTTCGGCATCAGAGTCTTGATTATCTTTTTGAGAGAAAGGAAATAATGAAGTTAAGAATTTTTGGCAGTGTATCTTTTTCTGGGATGCTTGTGCAGATATAAATATTACTATATTGTCTATTCCTATATAGAGCTCTGGGATGCACATGCATCAATTGTTTCACGCTAGCGTTTTCGTAAACAATTCTATAAAGTATTTGTACCAATTTTTTTCTACTTTTTCTGTTTTGGTGTCTAATGTTTGTATCATTGTAACCATTTCCCTATTTTTCATCTCATTTTATTTTCCCCCTTTTTCATTTCTTGCTCTTGCTGCACTAATTTCTTACTTATAGTCAAAGTAGGAATCAATTTCACTTGGTTTATACACGTGATAGCGACACTTTATTGATATACTTTGCCAAGTGTCAAATAAATTGAACAGAAATAAATAGAGCAAGACTAAATAGAGCAGATTTGAACTCGAAAAGTATATACACGAGTTCTCTCCTTTTCATAATGTATGGTGGAATAACTTATCAAGAATAATGACAACCAGAAACTAAGCATCCTCTTGATATGGTTTTAAGAATATCCACATCCATTATATCTATTTGAGTTTTTTAAATGAGTCTCGCTTAATTTTATATATTATTTTATATATTCTAATTATTTAAACAATTTAATTACACTTTTTAAATATTCATACAATCCATAAATATCTATGTGACAATTATAAAAACATTCTTCAATTGAAAATAAAAACTGCGTAGTAATATAAATAAGTGATATTAGTTAGTCATAATAAATGTTACGAATTGAAGTACTTAGGTTTTTCCTAATTGTTATGTAAAATACAAAGAATGTATAAAGCAGTACTGAATGTGTTCCTTGGACTTAGATGGAATAAAATATTTTGTTGCACATATCACATTACTTATTAATTATGTTCTTTTCTTAAAGTCCTTTAGTATATAATAATTTTTAAACAAAACAACAATTGAAGGTAATGAAATGCAAAATTAAATATTGTATTTATGCAGTAATGTGATGAAACTCCTTTTTTACATATTACTCCATACTAATACTATTCCGAACCTTT